ATTTATGAGGGGAAAGGTCGCAGGGCAGGATAGGAGGAAGGGCATGGTCACAACAGGGTTAACTTTAGTGAGGCAGAGCCCTAAGCTACTTTACAGCCTGGTACCCTGGTACCTTAATTGCTACTGGTGATTTATGAGGGGAAGGTCGCAGGGGAGGAGGGGGCCCAGGTAAGGATCGCAAGGAAAAAAAAGCCCGGTAGTGGAATTTTTAAGAATTCCACTTTAGTGGAATTTTCCAATCTTCCACTTCAAGACCGTCACTCCTTTGGCCCTTTGACCCAGTAACAAGTGACCCCAGGGCTATAGGAAATTGGGGTTTCTGAAGGAGGACACAGACCCCCTTCCCCTAGAGCCAGCCCTTCCACTGTGCTCAATGACCTGCTCAGGACGGGAGGGGAACTGCTAGGTTCACTGGAGTGGGGTGTGAGTAAGGGCGTAGACTGCTGCCTTGTTTGGAGTCTTGACCACAGAATCTGTAGCTTTATGGTTTAACTCTCTAAAGTCATTTGGGGTCCTTAGCGGGGCGGGTGTGTCAGCAAACCATACTGGACCCAATCCTAGAGGCTAAAGACAAATTTCAGCCCTGGTGAGGAGGGTGAGAGTACAGGTTTTACCATCAATTACACGACCTCTTGCCCTCTGCCTGAAACAGTAATGTTCTCTCTCTCTGAGGACAGCAGATTTCCAGGGCAGCCCACAGACCTTGAATATCAGATTTAAAGCTGAAATATAGTACTTATCACTTTGGACTTTATCTGCTCTTTCTAGACCCACATCAGGTGGACTTTTTATTTTATGCCTTCCTTCAAACTCTTACCATCTCTTCAGGCCTACCAGGCATACCAGAGTTTCCACAGACAAACCCTGGAAGGAAGAGAAAGTTGGCCTTTTGGAGTTAAGGATAAACAGACACAGGCTATCTGTGTGGGGAAGGCAAGGCTCCGTGGAGGAGGAGACATTTTGAGCAAGGCATGGAAAACTGGTCAGGATAGAGATGGGTATGGGAAGGCCATTTGGAGGAAAGGAACAATAAACAAATACTGAATGTTTTCTGAATGCAACTGTGTATCTAAGTTTCCCCGGCACCTGCAGAAATGCCTCATCAGCACTTAGTAGCAGGCGGGAAGAAGCTTAAGGAGTCCTTGGTCACACTAATGGAAGTACTGCCTAAGCCAAGGTGACCCTGTCAGCCAATGTGACCTCCGGCAATTTTTCTCTAGCCTTAAAATGCTAAGGTTTACTGGACAAAGCCTCCTTAGGGTGCTCTAATCTTATCCACCAAGCCACCCCCCTGAAGGCCCTGTGCTTTCTTCTTTCCCTACTTGGGGTGGGGAAACTGTGGCCTTGCTGAATCCAAATTTAATAAAGGGATTTGTTCTGTGAAGTTTCGATTTGGTTGAGGGATCACACTTGGGGATCTGGAGGGACACGTGGCCCTGAGGCCGCAGGTTCCCCAACCCCATAAGGAGAGCAGAGACTGGAGCATCCCGACACACAGGATGTAAGGGATGAAAAGGGGCCTTGATCAAGATCTGGAAGAGAAGGCATCGATGTACAGCGGATCGAGTGCCCCCCTCCCCTCCTGCTGCAGTTCAATCAGCCTGCTTTTCCTTGGCACCAGAGTTCACCTGTCTGTCCTTGTTCACTGGCTGCCAGCTAACCTGACTCACTTATCCCAGGAAGGACAGCTAGGACTAAGGAGATTTTGGGTCCTCTCCTAGGTAAAATAATTTTCGTAGGCAATGCTTTAACTTAAAAGGGTGGCACCCCTGGCCCATTGCAGGAGGGGAGGTCTGAAACATTTGTGGAAAGTCCTGTGCTCCAAAGGGGCCAATGCCCTTTCAAATGAACTGCAGCCTACCTTATTCCCACCCCTGCTGGGGGAGGACTGCTCTGGAGGAATTGTGTGACCCATGAAGCTTCCTATCACCCCCAAATTGGCCCCAGAAGCTGAGACATCCCTCAGACCTCCACCTCAGAATCCATCCTGTGAGAAGCCAGTAACCCAGTAATGACTCAGCACCACCCTCCTCTTTTCCTCTCACCACCAGAGGGAACGCAGAATCAAGCAGACTCCTCCCCATTGGAGGGATACATCCTCACCACAAACTGAGTCATGGCCACACCCTGCCTGTATGGAAATTTACTGGAGAGGACGGAAGGGGAAGGTTAAACTCCAGGGGTTTTTAATTTCTCAATCCAGAAATCATAGCCATCTACTCTCTACCTAGAACTAATTAATAAAATAGTTCTTTTCCTGATCCTAGCCCTAACCAAGCATGACCAGGTCTAAATGAAGTGAGGTTGCTTGAGTCTAGGACTACGTGAAAGGTAGGAGGCCACTGCCAAGCTGTACGTGCCATATTTCTAACAGTCTTGGCCCCTGAGAAGGACAATGCCTTGCTACTTACACCTGACTTTCACTGGCCCCAGCTCTCCCACCTCCGAGGCCCAGGTCCGGGAAAGGGGCAACCCTCCCTCAATTTCCCCTCCAGGGTGTGGGAGGGTTTCTCTCCAGAAACTCGGGGCCCCACCCAGCCAGTTTCTCTTCATTTACTAGAATGAAGGCATTCTAGTGTTTGCGGGGTTTTAACGAGCTTTGGTTTACCTCATATACATTTGAATTTTATAAGATATGATTATCTGTAGCTTTCAAATTTCAGATCCAAAAAGTCCTATTGCTTTTCTGTGGAACACTATGAAATGGTGTATTTAATTTCATTACAATTTTATTGGCATAAAAAAGACCATTATTATGCATATGCCATTAAAAAAAAGTGACACCCAGGAGGCTAGCTCAGCTATTTGAGTTTTTCCGGTAATACACACTATTTGTTCATTTCTTCTCATTCCATCATTTGCTAGTACTTGCTATATCAGATGCCAGTGATATAGAGAAATTATAAGAAATGCTTACAACTGAGAAAAACCTATTAACAATTTCTGAAATTGAATAAAAATGCTGTTATACCACTTCAGTAGTGACATACCTAGGTTCAGTTGCTAGAACACCAGTGGGAACAGTTTGAGAACGTCTAGGGCACTACAGTGGTTAAGAGCTCAGGTTCTGGTTAAGAGGTAAGGTGAAGAGCTCAGGTTGGGCAGATCTGGTTAAAAACAGCATTGCCACAAACCAGCTGTGAGACCTTACACACATTATTTAAGATCTCTAAAGATAACCTAGCTTCCTGCTTCGTTGTCAGGATTAAGTGAAAAAAATATTTGTAAAGTTTGAAAGGCTAGAACCAGAACAGCAATTCTGGAGTCAGGTTGCCTGTCACTAGCTGTGGAATATGGCAAAATTGCTTATCCTCTGTGCCTCTGTTTTCTCATCTACAAAACAGGAACAATAGCACCTACTTCAATGGCTTCACAGGCTTATGGTGAGAATTATGAGTCAATACATGTAGAAAGCTTATAATACCAAGTACCTAGTAAGTAATCTAAATTGTCAGCAAATTATTAAAGTACTTAGCATAATGCCCAGGGCCTATCTAGTAAGAATTAAAAATGTTAGCTCTGTCTGATACTACAGAGATGGGCTGCCAGGGTCCTCCCAGGAGCCAGGACTTTCGGTTAGAGTGGGCTCAGGGATAGGGTCATTTACTTGGTGAAGAGGTATTTCTCCTAGACCTCAAACAAGAATGGGGAAAGAGAGTCTTGGGAGACTTGCAGAGTCCGAATCGAGAAGGGATAAAGGAGTCTAAGAAACAGCCCCTAGGGAGATAGACCTTAGGAATAGTACTTGCACGTTAAAGCAGGTCAGAAACTACAAAACAGCATAAGGTACCCAGGCAAGAAGGTACCTCTAAAGTATGGTGAAGGTAACGAAAGACAACAGGTAGCCTAGGGCAGGCTCTGTAAATCAAGAAGCTACACTAGAGTAAGAAACCTATCCTTGAAAAGCCAGGCTTGTTTAATGTTTGTTGCATTCTCTGTGCTTATATTCCTTTTTTTCTTTGATTATTTCATAAAATATTTGGACATGTCCAACTATCTCAGCTATGCTTAGAAGGGTTTGGGGTACATGTTGCACAGCCTGAAAGGCCAGCAGAAGGCTTGTTGTGGTAATATCAACAGGGAGAAGATGGAATTCACTGATATTAACAAAATTAGGTCTCCTAGAAATAGCTGCCTTCCTTCACCACCCTGCTAACCTTCGAGAATCTGGGTTTTGTTTCATTAAGGGAAGCTGCATTCTCCTAGAATGTCTTTATAGATTTCAAGTTAAACACCAACGCAACTTCCTGCTCCTGCCAGCTGTCCCCAACCTCACTTACCCCAAAGAAATAAATAGGAAAAGGAAGAGGGTAGGGGCCCAGCCCCTGAGATACAAAGGACCCTGGGTAGGTTTTGTGCAGAAAGCAGTAGGCTATCCCTAAGCTGCTCTGGCCTCAATGGCCTTTTAAATCTTGACTAACAGTCACTAGTGGTATTCTATAAACCTGTTTCATCTGCATAACTGGTAAGTTTCCTTTTAATCCACTGATTAAAAAGCTGGCAGAGGGCCGGGCGCGGTGGCTCACGCCTGTAATCCTAGCTCTCTGGGAGGCTGAGGCAGGTGTATTGTTTGAGCTCAGGAGTTCGAAATCAGCCTGAGCAAGAGCAAGACCCCGTCTCTACTAAAAATAGAAAGAAATTAATCGGACAACTAAAAATACATAGAAAAAATTAGCCGGGCATGGTGGCACATGCCTGTAGTCCCAGCTACTTGGGAGGCTGAGGCAGAAGGATCGCTTGAGCCCAGGAGTTTGAGGTTGCTGTGAGCTAGGATGACGCCACGGCACTCTAGCCCGGGCAACACAGTGAGACTCTGTCTCAAAAAAAAAAAAAGCAGAAGCTGGCAGATCTGTAGTATTCCACACTAAATGGACTCAGCTCTGATTCCAGGCGACATAAATAGTCCCAACCCTCAGGATATTCCCCTCTCCCCACCCCCATCCCATTTGGGGGCTTGGAGTAGGTGCTGGGCCAAGGCTAGTCAGACCACAGTGATCATATCCAGTCCACAGCACCTTCCATTTTATTGTTTTATTTACAAACAGGGTGAAGTCAACTGGGAAAATCAGGGGTTGGAGTCAGTCTGGGCCATCCAAACGTAGAGTGGTTCCTGGGTCAAGTTCCACTATGAAGGCCACCTCTTCTTTTTCTTGCCCCCTTGGTAACGGTCCCTTAATTCCTCAGGGCAGCCTCACCTGCTGCACCTGAGCCCTTTTAAGAGGGCAGATGGATCCTGGGGGAACAGGGGTGGTACGAGGGCTGGGGCCCCCTCAGTTTGTGTAAACCTGAGTTCCGATCACACGCATGATTTCCTTCTGTATCTTGGGGTCCTGAGTATTTATGTTGGCATCGCCCACCTGACCATCCTCATATCTGCCAAAGATAGGGCAAGTATGAGCATAAAAGGGAGAACAATACCAGAATGTGAACCAGTAGAACTGTATTTCAAGGTGTGGCCATCCCATCCCAGAATTCAAAGCCCTTTCTTGCTACTCTTCAGTGTGGAAGGGATTCAGCTTATCTAGTTTCCTCTAAACAGACCTTGATGATCTATACCCATTCCTATCCTCCAAGGGGAAAGTCCCAGTGCCAGCTCCACTCAGGTAGCCAGGGACAAAACTCATATAACAGAAACAGACTTTCCCAGTAGTCACACACCATCACACCCCAACCCTCACTCCTCAAGTATTCCCCTCCTGAACTTACACAAAGAAGAACCGTGTGCAGACATGGTCAGATACAGGGCACACCCAGATGTTCCCATGCTTCTGGAGGTCCTTGGATGTAATCACTGGGAAGAAGAAGGCCGGAAGTCATAGACATAACGTTTAAGGCACAGAGTCCAGGCAGGAAAGGGAAACCATGCTGTTTCAACATCACCCTTGGCCAGATCATATGCCAAAGTTGCATCAAAAATAAAGGTTGGGATCCAAAAACAGGCCAAAAGCCTGTAAACTGCCTACCTTCACAAAGTGCTATACAGTTTAGATTCCGACTCTGCAGGAACCTTGACTGAATGGATCGGGTCTGGAAGAGGAGGCAAAGGAAAGCAGAGACAGGCAGACAGTTACAGTTTTCCCTAGAGAGGCTGGTTAGCTGGTGATTGGTGGTGGGGATCAGGGATACCCTGGGCTCCCAGCCACCCACCAAAATTTTGCTTCCCCATAATCAGTCTGGATGGGGTCACAGCTTCCATATTTGCATTTTTATCTAAACTCAGCCTCTGCTTTCATACTTGTGACTGAGGCCACATATGACTCTGGAAGTGTGTGCACATTAGAATATACCTGAGTCCTTTAAATGATCTTCAAATCATCACCCCTGCCCACTGTTTCCCCACCCATCTCTTCAAGCTAAAATAGCCCCAGGGAAGCGTCCTGCCTCATTAGAGCAGGGCCAACTGATACCTGGGGGATGGTATTCATCCTGTTGTATCTCTGGACCAGCTCATCCTTCGAGGGCATCCTGTGCTGTCCTTTTCCCATTCCTGTCACAGAACAACAAACCCAGTTCATTCATCCATTCCTTAAATCAAATATTTACTGAAGTGTCTACTATGTGCCAGCACTGAGCTAGACACTTGGCAATATGGTAGAGAATAAAACAAACAAGGTATTTGTCCCCACAGAATTTAGTCTGGGGGAAATTATAGGCAAGAAACATGTAATTATAACACAGCATGGTAAGGGTTGTGTTGGGGAGAGAACAGAGCACTGTGTGAGCCAGAGGAGGGGAACTGGCCTAGCCCAGGGGTTGAAGGAGGCATCCTGGTGACAGCTAGGCTGAGAACTAGAGGATTAGGAAGAGTTAATTACGTGAAGCGGGGTGGGGGAGGCAAGTATCCTGGGCAGAAGTAATAGGATATAAAGGCCTGAGGGAAAGACAGAGCACTGTGCCTTAGTTTGTACAGAGAATAGTAATGGCAGGGAGAAATGATGTGGAAGAGGTAAGCTGGGATCAGCTCAAGCAGGCCTTGCAGGCCATGTTAAGGCAACTGCAGTTTATCCTCAGAACATAAGGGAACCACTGAAGAGTTCTAGGGGAGTACGACAGGAAGTGAGCCAAAAATGAGGGGCCTAAGGGAGTGGGATATCAACACTTCAGCATCAAATGCCAGGCTGAGCAAAATGAGTGGAGAGGAAGCAAGCAGAGCAAGTCAGATCTTGTCTAGTCTCCAAGTTACATAAAAACCTGACCAGTCATCCAAGAGAACAGGAGAAAGCACAGCACAGTTAAGTGATGAATAACTTTCCACAGGTAATCACAATGGCAACCACCTTGAAGTACTCTACTTCCTTCAGAAAGCCTTCCCAGACTTGAGAAAGCAGTGCCAATTCCCTCTAGCTTCCACATTATCTAAATCCGTAAATCCTCTGCTATCCTTACCCCCTACTGAACAGCCCTGTTCTTAGATTTACAGACTCAACCTGGATTTTTCTTATTTAGATATAACACAGTGCTTGTGTACCCCTATTCCCAACCCAACTCTTTTTGGCTGCACAAGACTTCAGTCTCTGTACTCAACTTTTTCTCAGGCCCAGTCTGATCAGAGTTAGGGATAAAAGTGTGAGTGTGAGACAGAGAGACACGAAGAGAGAGAGAGAGAATGAGACCGAGAAGGAGATGCATGAAGATGCAAATAATACTATTATTACAGGCCAAAAGCACTCTCACTGCTCTAGTCTGGAACTTTCTATCATTATTAACTCTACTCTGCCTCAATTCTTGGCTTTGTGATAGCCATGGTATAGAGATGGGGGTGGCAACTGTTGAACTGACATTCTTTCGTACTCAGGCGGTCAACTCATCATGCGGTTACACTGAAGTCTCATGACAGATTCAGAACCTGAACAAAAATCAGGACAAGGAGAGCCTCAAGGCCTAATTGCCAATTTGTTCCTCTTACGGGACAGATACTCAAAATCCCTCTGTTTCCACCTTCTCCATTAGCCTTAACTAGTTTCAGCTCTCCATCCAATCATGGCCTCCTCAACATGGGTGTATCAGTGACAAGGTTCTGAGTGAAATTCCCATTCATGCTCTACTGCAGGGGAGGCAGACAACGGAATAAGAATAATCTGATTTCTATGGCAGGTCTTAGAGATGGCCCTTGTGATATCACCCAAATCTTGTCCCACCCCAATCCTATTGCACACTGTCCTTTCCATACTGACCCAGTGATCTTCTGTCCATTTCTTGAGACCAGACCCTGAGACCATGGTGGCTAGAATAATCCCTGGATGCTTTGTGTCCCGAGTATGCACTTACCAGAAGTCCCTAAACAGAACCCAAACATGGAATTTACCATCTCCTTTCTCACTGTCCCTCATTTCAACCTGCACACTACAGCCACGTCACTGGAGATTCCACTAGTTAAATGAACTCTGTTTACACCAACCCACACCCCTGGAAAGCATCCAGTGCCACTAAGCTAAAGGTATGCTGAGGGAGAAAAAATAGAAAACCAGAACAGGGGAGAAGAAAACATACAAGACAGTGGGTCAAATGCTAGAGTAACTACAGTAACTGGAACATCTGCACATACGCCCCCCTACCACATTATAAAGACTCTCACCTATCTATGAGACCATCCAAGATCCAGTCATTCAAGCAAAGGCTACTCTAGCCTAGAAGTTAGGAGACTTGGACTCCAGTCCTAGCTCTGCTACTCAGCATGTGACCATGAGAAAGTCGTTTAACTTTTCTGTATATCAGCTTTCTTATCTGTGAAGTAATAAGGAATTCTCAGCAGGGGTGGGGAACCTGCAGCCCTGGGGCCACATGTGGCCTTCTGGATCATTGAGTGCAGCTTTTAGACTGAATCCAAATTTTACAGAACATATCCTTTTATTAAAAGGGGTACATCAGAGAAAGATGAAGCTTTTCTTGCCTGCTTTGGGGTTTAAAAAAAATTGGTGATACAGAGTCTCACTCTGTCACCCCAGGGCAGTGGTGTCATCATAGCTCACTGCAACCTCAAACTCCTGGGCTCAGGTGATCCTCCTGCCTCAGTCTCCTGCGTAGCTGGAACTACAGGCACATGCCCCAGTGCCCAGCTAATTTTTCTATCTTTAGTAGAGACAGAGTCTTGCTCTTGCTTCTCCTGAGCTCAAGTGATCCTCCCGCCCTGGCCTCCCATAGTGCCAGGATTAGAGGCGTTAGCCACTGCTGCTGGCTTGAAAAAGAACAATCTTGAAATCAGAAGGCTGCAGGTTCCCCATCCCTGGTAGATGATCTATACCTCCAATAGTAAAGGCCTATGGTATTTTGTATCTATAATCAATCACCCTTTGAGAGAGAGAGAAGAATAGTGTCTATTATGGTTTTATGTAATCAGTAAAGTGATGAAGACAGACAAGTAGGCAATAGAGATTCCTGGCTCTATCTGGTAACTAAAGGTTTTCAGGCACTTAGTGATAAACAAAGGCCAGTGGGAGAAGACAGAAGGAAAGAGAGGGAACAGGGAGAAAATAAGAAGAATCTTGTGGGCACCAAGAAGTAGGATAACCTCTCACTACTCAGATAATAACACAGCTTAATCAGGGGGATGCTAAGGCGGGGAAAGATAAAAACTGAGGAATCGAGACAAAGAAACCAAAAAGACTATCCCAACACCACCCCTACTTTGGACTCCGGGTACACATGGTAAGACTCACTCACACATTCAATAAATGTTTATTGGGCACTTACCCTATGTGAATTAATCATAACCTGTTTCATGACACATTATCATTTTTTAATAGGACAATGAATACCCAGAGACCCAACCCAAGAACTAAATCCAAGAACTAAAACATTGCCTGCCTCCTCTTGGGAGGTAATCACTATCCTGAAATTTGAGTTCTTATTCCCTCACTTTGCTTTCTTTAGTTTTACACACATGTGCCTATTAATTTTATTTGCTTTTGAATAATATAAAAAAGGAACCATATACTATACGGTCTTCTTGGATTTGCCTTTTATTTTTAGTTAGAGACAGGGTCTTAACTCTATCACCCAGCCTGGAATATGTAATCATAGCTCACTGCAGCCTTGAACTTCCAGGCTTAAGTGACCCTCCTGCCTCAGCCTCCCGAGTAGCTAGGACTACAGGCTGGTGCCACTATGCCTAGCTAATTATTTTATCCTTTTTTTAGAGATGAGGTCTTACTATGTTGCCCAGGCTGATCTCAAACTCCTGGCCTCAAGCAATCTTCCTGTCTCAACTTCCTGAGTTGCTAGGATTATAGGCATGAGCCACGGTGCCCAGCAATTGAACATATTACTAAGATTTTTCCATGTTATTGCATTTCGATCTTGTTTGTTCATTTTCATTGCTAAAAAATAATCCATTGTTAGAGTATATAAAAATATTTATCCATTATCCTCATGGTGAGCATTTGAGATGATTCTAAGATCTGCGGTTACAGTATTGCTCTGAACCTTCACGTACACATCTTTCGGTGTACACATGCAGAAATTAAAATGCTGGGTCCCAGGAATAAAACTGCTCGGATTTATGAAGTAAAATCAAATTGTTTTCCAAAATGGATACACAAATTTATATCCCCACAGGCAGTAAAGGAGACACTGCTGATCTACAACTTTTGGTACTATCAGAAGTGTTGTCAGATTTCCTGATTTTTGCCAATCCACATAGGTACTAAATTGTGAGTCATTTTGGTCTGATTTTTACTTCTCTATAAATAAAGGTTAAGCAGCTTTTCATAGTTTTGGATGCTTCTTCAGTGAAATACCTGTTCATGTCATTTACCTGTTTTTCTTTTCTTTTAGGTTGTCTATTCTTATTGATTTGTAAGAATTTTTAAAATACATTTTTTTTTTTTTTTTTTAGACAGAGTCTCACTCTTTTGCCCGGGCTAGAGTGAGTGCCGTGGCGTCAGGCTAGCTCACAGCAACCTCAAATTCCTGGGCTCCAGTGATCCTCCTGCCTCAGCCTCCCGAGTAGCTGGGACTACAGGCATTCGCCGCCTTGACCGGCTCATTTTTTTCATATATATTTTTAGCTGTCCAGCTAATTTCTTTCTATTTTTAGCAGAGACGGGGTCTCGCTCTTGCTCAGGCTGATCTTGAACTCCTGAGCTCAAACGATCCGCCCACCTCGGCCTCCCAGAGTGCTAGGATTACAGGCGTGAGCCACCGTGCCCGGCCTATTGTACTATTTTTATTTCGTTGATTTCGGTTCTTACCTATATTATCTCATTTCTTCTACTTTGGTTTAATCTGTTGTTAGAGACTTTTTTAGTTCTTTGATTCTTGCACTAATTTTTTTTTTACTACAGTTACAATTACTGCAGAATACTAGATAACCTGTAAAGAATCTAGCACAATCCCTTTCACATGGTGAACACACAACTATGTGGTGGCTATACCTTATACAGAGACTACATGGAACAAGAACAAAAGCAGACTGAAAAGGAACTAAGACGACATGAATCAGAAAGACAGAGAGAAGTCTAAGTTGGATTCCTTTTCTGAGTTGGACTCATCTCCTGATTAGATTCTGAACCTCATTCATGTCTTTAGAAAAAAATGCTTTCTTTTCTATTCAATGTGACTAATATAATACTGTATGATTATTGACAGTTTAAATTTTAAAATATGGTTGACGGATAGAACAACGTCTCCAGAAATATAAGCCAATGGAAAGGACTCAAACCTTCAGGCATATTCGCACATAAACTCACATGCACAGGTGCACACAATCTATAATAGCCAACACAAAAATGTGGTCTACGAAAAGCCTTGTTATCTCCCAGTTATTCCTCAACCCTTTCCCAGGGCCAAGCCCCTACAATAAATAAAGCCATCATTTTTAACAATAATTGGCCGCACCTTGTAAAGAATCTAAATTTCTAATAGGAAAATGTAGAGAGACAGGCTATGTATCCATGACTTGGAAGAGAGCCGACATAGACCAAGTATCTATGATGGGGGAGACAGCACAGATCATGTGTTCACAAATGGATGCAATGTAAATAGAGTCAAGGTGGCCAAGGAATATTTCTTACCTGAGTATCCAAAGGAAATACTGGAGATGGGGCTCAGGTAGATGCCTTTGCCATAGGCTGCTCCATGCAGCTTGCAGGGAAACACCAGGATGAGCAATATGAGCCTGGGCTCTCCGATGGCTGTATAATAGGCAGCCGCAAGGCTTATCCAGCCCTCTGTCCCTCCATTTACCTTCTCACTCATTCAAACAACTCTAAGCACCTACTCTTGAAAAGCTGACTGGCTGAGAGGTAGATGCAGGTTAGCCCACTTGCCTACGAAATACCAGATATTGATGCCTTGGAGAGTGGGGAGTGGCAGAGCCACTGAATCAGTCCCTCAGTATCCACACTCCTGTCCCCAGGCCTTACATATGCAGATTCCAAAAAAGAGGTACTATGGAACAGGTAGCCAGGAGGGATAATACCCATTCCCTGGAGTCTCTCAGGGCAAAGAAACAAGTCTCCCATATCAACTCTTTGAATGATTAGCCCCATAAATGAAACACTAATAGGTTAATTCATCACAGTGGCTGCAATCAGCAATTCCATATTCCTGCCTACAGGTACATTCCCATTCCCAAAACCACCAAAAACAGCCTGAGATCAAATATACAACAGCCACATTCACTCTATACATGTAGTTCCTACCTTCCTCTGTAAGGAAGCCCCCAAGACAGGCAAGGCTTGAGGACGCTGAGGCAAAGACAGCTGAGTACTCTAGAGCACTCTATCCCAAAGCTGTGTGGGTGGAGGAGGGTGGAGAGCAAGGAAAGGTGCACAGCCTCACCTGCAGTTTGGTGTAGGACGCATTGACCAGCCCGTTGCGCAGGATCGAATGCCAGTTCTCGATGTGGGACCCACTGTAAGGCAGGGCAGAACACATGTCTCCTCATGGCATGAGGTTCCCAGGAGCACTTCCAAGACTGCCATTCCCACCCATTCTCACCCACACAGGACATGAAGATGGACAGAGATACACCTAGTAACGGACACGCACATGGATACAGTCACAGGCACGCAAGATACGTGTGTGTGGCTAAAAATCCTACATCTTTATTTCCAGTTTTCATCCTCTCTTCTACGCTTTAGCTAATCCCATCCTAAATCCTCAAATGCTGGTTCGATATTTTCTTTTGCCCATTCTTCCGATATTTCAAACTCAACAAATTCTTCTCAAACTCAACAAACTTATCACTGATCCCAAATATGGCTTTTAATTCTGACTTCACGTTCTATTTTAAGGTACAACCACTCCAAGTTACCTTTAATACCTCTCTTTTTCTCTACCCCATCTTACAATTAGGCATAAATTGCGGATTTTCCTTCAAAGTAGCTTTCAAATCTATCCACTCCAATCTGTTCCTTCAATCACATCTTTTTATATGTAAATATTATTTCTCTTCAACTACATCACAAGCAGTTTGGGAATAAAGCCCGCATCATATTTATCTTTTTATCCTCCACAGCACCTACCACAATAGCATTTAATAAGTATTTGCTGACTAGTTGATGGACACAGGTAACACAAACTCATATACCTCAAGAGCACTCTTCCCGCCCCCTCCCCTCCACTGCCCAGCCCCCAGCCTCCTCACTGGAAGGCAAAGGTGCTGCCGTAGAGCTTCTTGGCGGTCCGGAACCGAGCCTCCTTGGCAGGAGGGCTGCTCAGCAGGAGGAACTGGTGTGAGGTGTGCATGAACTTCAGCTGCTGCCCAGGGTGGGGGTGGGATCAGGAAAACAGAGCAGAAATCGAGATCAGGGAGGGAAGGGTTGCACTGACCCCACACAAGGGAAACATGCTAAGGCCCAAACCCTGTGTTGATGGACAGAGCTAACCAGGCAGATCTAGACCAATATGGTTAACTGACTTAGAGCCCCTCACCAGAAATTTAAAAGAGTTTAGAGGCAAAATGGTCACTTACCCTGCTGAGAGGTAGTTTGACAATGTGTGACCTGTTGCTAGAGATGATCCTGGGAAGAAACAGGAAAAAAGGAAAGGACAGAATGTTACATATACATACACATTACCTATGTGGTTAAGCTGTTCTGAAACAAGTAGCCTTCCTCTGCCCTTGGGAGAACAAGCAAGGATTCCTGGGCTGGGGAAATGTCCAGCTCACTATCTGGGTATTTCTTTTGGTACAAAAATGTAAAAGGGAAGCTACTGACCAGAGATCAGCTAGCTACTGGAGAATTAAACAATGGATGAAAGAAAGAAAGTGGTGGGAGGTGAGCTGCTACATTAGGGAGAAAACAATACAACAAAAGGAAGAGCGCAAGAAGTCACCTACAAAAAAAAAAAAAAGAAAAAGAGGTCTAAATTAGGATGGTGACAATTTATACCTGGGATTTAGACTCAGACTCAGAACTGGGGCTCAGGAACCATCCTGCCAGAGGAAGCCTAAAGGCTCTCGAGGATTGGGAGGAAATGTAGAGAAAGTTACTGTCTAGGCTGGAGAAGACAGAAGTAACTACAATGATTGTCCTGAGGAGTCAGAAGAGATTAGACTGTGTATAGGCTGAACTCGGAGGATAGGAGAAAACAAAGGCATAAAACCTTGAGGGCTCGGCAAGAAAGCACTATCTCCTACAGTGGACACAGTTTGGTTTTTCTGTGCCTCATCCATGTACTTGTGATGCCACCCTGGATGGTCTATGCCCAGTTATTCCTCAGGCTGAGAGAGAGGAAGCTGTGGCACTGAGAAAGTACTGATGTCACAGGCTGACTAGGAAGAGGGAGGCAGGCTAGAAGGGGAAAGCTATGTCAGGAAAACAGAAAAGAAGTCAAGGTCAGGGAGGGAGGACAGTAGGGAATAGTCAGAATCTGTGCTAAGAGAAGGGAATAACAACAGTGCCTCAAGGCTCCGGACATTCTACATCTGGGAAGGCCCTGAGACAGGGGAAGGGGGTAGCAGGGTGAGACAGACCTCTCCGGATGCTTAGAAAACTTACTGAAATGAGCAGTGTTAATTCCCACATGCAAGGGACACTCAAAAACCTACTGGTGGTGACTATAGTTAGTAACAATGTATTATATTCTTGAAAATCATGGAGAGAATAGATTTCCAAGGGTTCTCGCCACAAAAAATAGATGTGAGATAATGCACATGTTAATTAGCTCTACTGAGCCACTCCACAGTGTACACATATTTCAAAATATCACATTGTACGCAATAAACAGATACAATTTTCATTTGGCAATTTATTTATTTTTATTATTATGAGTTCGGGG